AGATTTCAGGAATGTGCCAGTGTACCTGGCTGTTTTTTTTAAAATAATTATTATTTTTTAAATTTTTAGAATTTTTTTTTGTGTGTGTGTGTGTGTGTGTTCAGAGTCTTGTACACTTTTTCTTCCAGGATGAAGTTTCTGGGGATGTTATATCAGTAAGCTAGATATACAGCAATTCCTTACTTATCATTTCTCTGTTCTTGATTTGTGCTCATTAATATGACACTACACTGCACAATGATTGTAATTTTCCTGAACTTTAGTTCTGCTAATAATGGAAGGTTAATAAAATATAAAGAAGTGATAGGCATCTTGACATGGTAACATTAACAAGATGGTGTATTGATAAAGTGTTTTGAGCTCTGGGTTAGAGCCATCATAGAAATTATTGTGAATTGTTAATACTGCCTAACGCATCATCCCTGCTGCCCTACCTGGATAATTGTCTAAAGTCATTTTATTATTTCTTGGGGAAAAGGGAGTGCTGAAATTTGCCCTGCAAGGCTGTCTGGTCTTTGAAATATTTGATCAGAATGATTAGAGTAACAAATATTCAAACTACTTAATAACTGGTGTTAGAGTATATGTATCATCAATCATATGGTGTCACTAGCTCATTAGAAGGTGCCCTGGGGTAATCTAGTAAGGACACACACCATGGTAATGTGCAACAGTATTATACCAGGTGAGTATCGTTGCTGATTTTGATTCCTTTTTGGACCATTCAGTCTTTCTTAGTCAGTTGCTTTTACATGTTAATGTAGCTTTTGGGTAGGTTTGGTTTTGAGGGGTGAAGGAGAAGTCTATTGATCCAACAATGGCTCTTCTAACATTTTAGACTGCTGTCACCTACAAAAGTTGTAGCCAATATGGCCATGATTTCATAACACATAGATCAAGAGTTAAATGCAGCACAGATCCTATGAAGAGTTTAAAAAAAAAAAAAAGTATGGTCCATGGCAATCAGAGAGGTCTGAGGTACTCAAAGACAAATTAAAAAGTACCATGAACTTGCCTGTGGCTAAAAATAACAATTTTCACTGTATAAAGACTACTACAAACACTTTAAAAAATTCATTTTAAAGAAATAATTCTTTTAAAAGTTTTAGTTTCCCTTTATTCTTCCCAAATACCATATCCTTTCCCACCCACTTCCCCCTTCAAAAATACCTTCTCAGAACATTTATTAAATTGTAGATTTGGTGAATTTCCTCAGTTGCTTAAGGCATAGTTCTAATACTAAAATAAATGATGGGCAAAACTTTGTTCATTAGCTTTTTGAGGAAAAAAATAATGCATCATACAATACCAGAATAAGTCAAAGGCACATCTAAAAGAATGTGTCCTGGATTAAATGGACAGTAGGCTTCTCTTTTCCCATTTACTCATTCCAAAAAAGATTGACAATACTCCCTGTATTCACATGAAAAAAATATCCAAATTTAGCATCTAGTACAATGGTGTGTGTGTGTGTGTGTGTGTGTGTGTGTGTGTGTGTGTGTGCGTGTCCGCACGCACCGCCTGTGTGTGCCTGTGTAAAGAAAGATCGGGAGCTGGAGAATTTGTTGGGGGACAGTGGAAATAGGGAAAATAGTTAGCCAGGGAAAAAAAATTTCCCCAAATGATTTTCAGAACATGGTTCTCAACATGTGCTCCTGAGATCCATAGCATTAGCATCAATTGGCAACCTTATTAGAAATGCAGATTTTTAGATACATCCCCAAACTTTCTGGATAGGAAACCCTGGGTGGTTCCAGCTGCTGTGTTTGATTAAATCCTTCAGGTGCTTCTGGTACAAGTTTAGAAGAACAGCTCTGGAGGACAGTTAAGATCTGCTTGGGTGACTGAAGGAAAAGGCAGCTCCACAAGGAATTACAGCCAATGACTACTTTGGGCCTTTGCTTCTGAGATGTAATCATGACTCAGGATCACATCTGTGTCAGGCACCTGTCCTGGCTTTCCTGTGGTTGAGGACCTCTAACTTTTCTTCCTGGGTTATGACTATTTTTTTTTTTTTTTACATCAACAGTTATCTGCTTCAAAGGAATACTGGGTCTAAATTGTTCATTTTTGCTCTTTTCCTCACAAGAAATGAAAGAGTTGGTTTTCTATTTAAAATGTACTTTATCTATTTAAAAATACTTTTCTATTTAAACTTTTTTCCCTTTCATCTTAATTTGAGTTGCTAAATTTTGCTGAAGGATTTGAGCTCAGTTTTCCTGCTTAAAGTCTTGACTACCTATGGTAGTGCTAAATACTCCAAATTTTGAACATTGTATCTGGTGAAAACCAGCCACAGAATTTTTAAAGAGCTGCCAGGAAACTTGAGGTCTCAATGCAATTTGCATATTGTATAATTCAATTTTTTACTCAAGCTTTTGATGTAGTTTCCCCTAGCAGAAAAATAAAAATGTTACTGTACCATTTATTTTTATTTTTATTTATTTTTAAGCAGGCCTAACCTTATGAGATAATTTTTGTTTATTCATCATGTTTGCAAAACATGCTCCTCCCCTTCCTTGCCCTTTCTTTTTCTCCTCTTCTTTCCCCCTCTTCTCCTTTCTTCACCTCTCCTTTCTTTCATTTTGAAAAATATATATTATTTTCTCATATACCAAAAAATATTTTACATTTTTTAAAAATCAAATAGACTTGTTTAATATGAAAGTCAAGAATTTGAAAGAAGAATGACCAAAAAAAAAAAAAAAAAAAGGGAGGCGAGTTTAAGAAGTCAGCACAGAAAGGAGGAAAGAAGTGTTCCTCATCCTTGGAAGTGAAATGGCAGGTGGGGTGCTCTTGGAATGTACCATTGGGAACCTGAGTCTGAGTTAGGCCTATGGCCTGGGTGTGGTAGCTATAATGTAAATAAGTCAAGTAATTTTTTTCTGGGTCATTCACTTGTCATTTGACCTGGTGGTTTAGTTATGCTGAGCAGCTGAGACTTGTTTTTCCACCTGAAAATCAGATGCTAAATATGTAGTTCTGCACGTTGTCACAGGACTAAGGGAAACCATATATGTGATGAAGGTGGAGTCTCAGCAAATGAGCATCCTGCATCTAGCACGTGTTTATACGTTGAGTTATGATTCATCTGTTGAATAGTACACTGTTGTATTAAAATACCATGATTTAGGCTGGATGTGATGGTAAACACCTATAATCCCAGTGACTATGAAGGCTGAAGCAGGAGGATTGCAGGTTTGAGGCCAGCCTCAACAGCTTACCCAGGGCCTAAGCAACTTAGCAAGACTGTATCTCAAAATAAAAAAGTAGAATGGCTGGGGGGCTGGGTTTGTGGCTCAGTGGGATGTGGTTCAGTGGTTAAGCATCCTCAATCAATCCCTGGTATAAAAAAGAAGAAGAAAGAGAAAAAAAACAGTTTCCTGGTAACATAATATAATGAACATTCATCTGTAATATCTCTTTTTGTGCACATATACAAAATTTGACTAGAGTAAATAACTGGAATTAGAATTACTGGGTACTGGTTTGCAAACATCTTTTCTAGATAATATCAGATTATTGTCCAAGTACCTGTTAGTACTTCTTCTAGGAGAGCATAGAATTTCTCTTTGCTTTGCAGTTTTGGTGATAATTGTTGTTGCTAGACTTCAAAAGTTTTGTAAATTTGATAGGTGGTAATTTTGTTTCATGTGGTTTTATTTGGCTTTATCTAATTACCAATTAGATAGGACATATTTCATTTGTTTTCTTTTTTGAGAAATGCTTGTTTAGATCTTTTTAAAGGAATTTCTTTAGTGTTGTTTTAATTTTTGTGAGTCTTTGTTATTTTAGAATGCAAATAAGTAATTCTTTATCAGTCATGTGCTTTGGAAGTCAATTCTCCTAGTTTTGGGCTTGTGTTTTTACTTTTTGTAAACAATATCTTTTGACTGAACAAGATTTCTTATTTTTTCATTTTGTGATTGCCTTTGTGTGTGTGTGTGTAATGTGTTTGTGCTTAATAAATACTTTTCAGGAGGCATTCTCTACTTTGCCAATTCTAAAGTGTTTTTTTTTTCCTTCACATTTTGAAATCTAAAAGTCTTGGAAATGATTTGTGTGTGTGAGTAAGTGTATGTGTGTGTTTGTGTGTGTGTGTGTGTGTGTGAGTGTGTGTGAAATGAGGTTGTGATTGGTGTAATTTCTTTTCAGCATGTACAACCAACTATATCATCATCATTTAATTAGAAATCCATCACTTCCACACTGCTTTGCATGGCCTCTGCCAGATAACAAGCTTTCTTATGAGTGCAGGTCTGCTTTTGGAATCTTCATTCTGTGCACTGAGTCGGACTTCTGTTTTGTCTCCACATTGTCTTACAGAACAGTTAAAATTAATTCTGATAGCTGATAGATAACACACATTATTTCCATTATGCTCTTTTTCTGGATTTTCTTGAATATTTGCCCCTCGCTTTTCTGTATAAAAATTTAATTAGCTTAAGTGTTTACAGATGCAGCAATGTTTCAGAACAAGATGGTTTAAAATAACATGCTGTATACAACAAATATACATGATCTTGATTTGTTAATTCTAAAAATTTTTTAAAAATTTAAAAAAAAAGATCTTACACATATGTACACAAATAATGTGATTTTTCTGGTAATTGCATTGAATATAGAGAAGAATTTGGGAGAGGATTTTCAGGTTTGTATATTTAGTCTTCCAACCATTATATTAAGAAGGTCTATTTATTGAGATTTCAACTTACAATTCTTTTTTTGTTGTTGTTGTTCTTAGGGTTTCGATTAGTCATTTTTTTATGGGCTCAGTAATGTATTTCCAGGTTTTCTTGTTGATATAATACATAATCTGAACATTTTTCAACAGCATGATAATACATATCTAGTCCATTATCCTACCAGAAGTAGAAGACTTATGTAAAGTATTTTTAAATGCAGTTGTCTATTTAAATATCTGTTACCATTTTGAATTTGTTTCTTCTGCCAATGTGTATATGGATGCTTACAAAAAACACATGTCTATTTACTTTTAGGTGGGAAAATGGTAATCTCTGAAATAGCCCATTTTTGGTCAGGAGAAACTACACGAAGTAGAGCTGAAGGAAATTTGATTGACATGGAAGGAGAAAACCTCTCAAAAAATTGCAATATTACAGGTACAGAAATGTATGACTATTGTAATTTTTCCATGTATGTAAATCAGATCCATCATCAATAGCTACTGAATGTGTACTTCTAAAATCCACCAATAAGTTCTGAAGTTCTACCTCCTGTTACAGGAGATTAAAAGAATTATAAAATCCTCTTGTTATCACAGAATTGTTCTAGTATTATTGAAGACATGCAAAAAATGTACAGCTTATAATTAGATTATAATAAATTTTATAAAAAGGCAAAAATCATCAATAAATGAGTAGTATATGCAACAAATAGAATGAATCTGGGGTAAAAGAGATCTTTGGAAGATGGAGGGATTTAAGAAAACTTCCTGGGACAGAAAACAATGGAATTGATCCTAGAGAAAAAAAAATGAATTTTAAGAATTAAGAGTCATTGGATTGAAAATCAGTGTAGAAATAAAAGAAAAACTACTTTTATTTTCTAATTTTTAATATGTAACACTTTAATGTATAACCATTCTACAAATAGTAAACCAAAAAGTTAAGAAGTTTACTTGAATTCTTTTCTTTCTTTCTTTTTTCCTATAGAAACTTGGATGATTTGATTGTCCATTTTGGCTTTCATTTTCTCCAAATTATCACCAGTTTCACAAAGTCCCCAGATTCTTTACTAATATTTTCTTAGAAATGGCCAAGTATAATTCACTCTAAACATTAAAAAATGTCTCGAACATTGTGGGATATATAGAAATTCTTTATGAAAATGAATATTTTAATGTGTTATAATTCTCAAAACACTCAGTTTCCAAAGCAATAATGTATCATTGTAAGTTCACAAAAGTTCAACAAATTCCTTCAAATACTATCCAACAGTGGTCTATTTTTTCAATGTTCCTTCTTTCTTCCTCCCTCTCTCTCACATACAAATTCAGTGTTATTAAAATTTATCAATACAACATTCTCAGAAAATAATCTAAAATTTTTTTGCTGCCTATCTAATACAGTAGATTGTTTTATAAAATTAGACCTACTGTATAGGGTCTAATAATGTCTAATCTAGATAATTGAATTCAGTTTGTTCATTTTGGGAAGATGAAACATAAAATAGTAAGGCAAAAATGAATACCAGTCTAAGTCATTTTCAAGGAAATGTGTTAAATGTTTAATTGTCTGAAGTGTTTGATATTTGTTTAGTTTATGTACAATGATATCTTTAGATAAAATAACTCTACCTTTACTCAAAATACTTTGGCAGAAATTTTCCTTGTTCTTATTACATGAGAATTTGACCAAATTTTACATTAAGTTTGTAGCAGCTACTAGACTAGAGAGCAAAAAGCAAAATGAAAAGTAAATCTTGAATTTTTAAGTTATGCGAATAATGAGTCTTAGTTGTATCTCAGATTGCCACCTTATTTTTGTTTTGTTTTATTTTTATTTAAATAACAAGAATGGCAAGACCCAGGCTTGCTTTACAATTGGCCAGATGCTGTCACTCTTCAAGATGACAAGGCTTTGAAAGTTACAAATCCATTCTGGAAGGAACTATCTGCTTCTAACCCATTTCTGGATGATATAACTCAGCAAAGAAATAACCAGAAGAAAGAGAATATCTCCATTTTGAAAGAAGATCCTTTTCTTTTTTTAAGAGAAATTGAAACTGGAAATTCTTTTGATTCCTCTGATGATGAACTTGATGTGCATCAGTTGCTCAGCAAGTCTCCCTTAAGGAAATCAGGAAGATCCCAAAGTGTTTCAGAACTTCTGGGCATTTTAGATGACACCACGAATACTCATCAGAATATGCAAGACTGTGACCAAATCCTAGCACAAGACTTAGAATGGCTTCAAAATGATCGAGAGGCTTATAAAATGGCTTGGTTAAGTCAACGCCAATTGGCTCGATCCTGCTTGGATTTGAATACAATGAATCAGAGTCCTGGATGGGCCCAAACACAAGTTGCAGAGACCATCACAGTTTGTAAACTCAACCACCAAGGAGGGTCCGTACAGTTACCTGAGTCAGACATCACTGTCCATGTGCCCCAAGGTCATGTAGCTGTGGGAGAATTCCAAGAGGTATCTCTAAGGGCTTTTCTTGATCCTCCACAAGTGCTTAATAATGATCTTTCATGCACTGTAAGCCCTCTGTTGGAAATCATGTTAAGCAACCTTAATACAATGGAAGCTGTTTTGTTAGAAATGAAAATTGGGGCTGAAGTAAGAAAGGATCCTTTCAGCCAAGTGATGACAGAAATGGTGTGCTTACACAGCCTGGTCAAAGAGGGTCCTTTCAAAGTATTAAACAACTGCTATGTTTATAAAGACACCATCCAAGTCAAGCTGGTAGACTTGAGTAAGGTGATGTATCTAGTGATTGCTGCACAACCTAAAGCTATTCAGTCACCACCTGCTACCATTTGGGATTACATTCACAAAACCATCTCAATTGGAATTTATGGCCCCAAATACATCCATCCCAATTTCACTGCTATTTTCACAGTTTGTGGACATAGCTATATGCCAGGAAAGCTTACAATCCCTGATATTAAAAAGGATGGAAAAAGCACCTCTCCTGTTGTATTTCAGCTCTGGGGAAGGCATTCGTTTTTGCTTGACAAGCCACAGGATTTAAATATTTCTGTGTTTTCATGTGATCCCGATTTTGAAGTAAAAGTGCAAGGAGATGGGAAACAAATTAAACAAAAGCAGTTGGAATCAGGTGAGGTGGTTCATCAACCACTTTTCTTTTCTTTAGTAGACTGCAGAGAGATGCACTTGTTTGTTTTCCGTGTTCAGGTGGAGCCTCCTAATGGTAGACCAGTTGCACAGTTCTTTATCACTTCACCTGATCCAGCTCCCAACCTAAAAAGGCTCTCAAATCTGCCAGGTTATCTGCACAAGGAGAAAGAGGACAAGTCCACGCCTTTATTCTCATCAGTGCTTGTTAAATATCCCACATTCCAAGATAAAAAATTGAACTTTTCCAACTATGGGGTAACCCTGAAGACAGTGCTCAGACAAAGCAAGATTGACTACTTTCTGGAATATTTCAAAGGGGACACGATAGCTCTTCTTGGGGAAGGTAAGGTAAAGGCCATGGGGCAGTCTAAAGTGAAGGAATGGTATGTGGGAGTCCTCAGAGGGAAGATTGGACTTGTGCATTGCAAAAATGTCAAGGTGATTTCAAAAGAACAAGTCATGTCTGTGTCTGATAGTATCTTTACAACCAGGAATCTTCTTGAGCAAATTGCCCTGCCCTTTAAAAAACTGACTTATATATACTCAGTTGTATTGACCTTGGTGTTAGAAAAAGTTTATGACTGGAAAGTTTTAGCCGGCGTCCTGGGGTACTCTCATCTGGCACTGGAAAACTTTGATCAAATGCAAGCAGACAAAGAATCAGAAAAGGTTTCTTATGTTGTCAAGAAGCTAAAGGAAGATTGCCATGGAGACAGAAATACAAGGAAGTTTCTTTATGAACTTATTGTGGTGAGTATTGCTTGATCATAGTAATTTATTTACCACAGAAAATTTTATTAACTTTTAACCAAACATGTGAGAGGGGAAATACATATTTTTTTTTAAAAAAAGCAGCTTCCCATAAGTCGAAGTCACTTCATAACAAATATAGAACCAATCCTAAAAGATCATTCAATTGGGTTTTTTAGATTTGAGATTCAATTGTGATTTTTCTCAGAAAATAAGGCCCCAAAGATTATCTTTTAAAGGGAGATTAAAGGTTCTGTTTGTGCTGGGCCTGAAACTTATAAGACATTTTCTTCTCTTCCTCTCTCAAATATTTAGATAGCCCTAAAATATCAGAATGGCTCCATAATGTGAAAGCAAACTTAAACAAAACTAACCTGGCCATTGCTAGAGGTCTACTTTTCAGTGTTTTTCTTTTTTCAAACATTTAATCAATGTCCTTTACTTTAGCATTTTTTTTCTTCATGCAATACATTATAATCCAAGCAATGATATTGGTGATTCTAAATCCTATTTGAATAGGAGTCTCAGGATCAACATTTTTCTGCATGGTATTCATCCCAGTGGAAGGCTCAGGGGAGAGTTATAAAGAATTGTTTTGTCTTTGAAGTAGAAATTCAATATTTTGTTAAAATATCAAGACCATATTTCTAAAAATGATTGAACTATTTATTTATAAACAATAATGATGATAGCTAATACCCTCTTGAAATATAGCTATATGTGTGTTTGTGTGTAGAAAAAAAAGTTTGTATAGGTACATGTGTTGGAGTGTGTACTAAACAAATAACAACAACAATGACATTACACATAACAATGAAAAATGGTGCCCTATAGGAGATGAGTGAGATTATTCAAGGGGGTTCATAACAGAGGAGTAAAGTTTTAAAGTATAAAAGGAGGAAAAAAGGGGGGCTGGGGTTGTGGCTCAGCTGTAGAGTGCTCACCTAGCATATGCAAAACCCTGGGTCCAAGCCTCAGCACCACATAAAAATAAATAAAATAAATGTATTATGTCCAACTACAATTAAAAAATAAGTTTTAAAAATGAGGAGAAATAATTAGAGAAGAAATTTAGTGTGTGACATTAACAATAATTTATATATTAAAGGAATAAATATTAAAAAGAAAAACTTTTCCTCCCCTTCAATATTTTTGATGGTTCTAAAATGATACCAAGAGTAGTTAAAGTTTAAAAGGCCCACTATCCATTTGGTAAGTGGATAGTTTTATTATGATATGCTGCAATCTCACTTAATCTGGGCCTTTGGAGGCTGAATGTTGGAGGCCACGCTGCCTGGTGGAAGCTCATGTGCATTTTGCAATAGCATGTTACCTCTCAGAGCTCACATTCAGTATGTATTGACAAAAGTTTGAATTGAAATTGCTCTCTCTTTCTTCAGTGGAACTCTTAGTCATATTGGCCCAATGACCTAAAAATTTAAGCCTACTCATACCTGGGCATTTTGGGAGTATGATAATTAATACAGTATTTTGAATGGCTACATAGAAAATTCTGGTGGAGAACCCATTCATAAAAGTAGGTCCCAAGGGAGCCCTTAAACTCCTATAGTGCCTATGCAGGATTCAGGACTCCTGAATGAAGGCATAAGCTAGGCCATCTCACAGGAAAGTAAGTGAGTGTGAAGTGAGAGACATTCTTGTCTCTTCAGTCTTTCTTTGTACAACAAACACACTCCCCCACCCCCTTGGACTGTATATAAATTTGAAGAACTGGCCAAATTAGGAAATTAAAGAGTGGCTATCCTTATATATGTGACACTCTGTGAAGTCCTTCAGCATCTGATTTAATCTTCATATTTATTAATCATTGGACAGTGGTATTAACACTATATCCATTTTTAAATCATTATTTTCTATGGCTACATAGAAAATTTTCTATGGCTATATAGAAAATTCTATTGAATAATTCGTTTGAAGTCTTATAGTTTGTGGAGACACATTTTAAACTCAGGTTTTATGACTTCAAGCAAAAAGATTCTTTTTGCTAAAAAACCAAATAACAACAACTGGACTGTGGAGCGGTAAAGCCATTCCACATTACTAAAAGTCCTTCAGGGTCCTGCTGACTTGGATTGCTTCTCACTGAGGCTGTAATTTCTCAGTAGAAATGCAGGGCTTAGTCTAGTCTCTGTATAAAACCACATGTGGCCCTTCTATGTGTATATTTACATGAGAATAAACACACTTCGAAACTTCAGTAGTTACCTAATTTGGTCATTCATTTGTACTTATTATACTGTGTTTGTAGATAAAGTTTCCAAGTGCCACTAAGTAATGAGAAGCTGCTAAATACTTTATTGTTGTTGTTGTTTTTCGTTTTTGCTTATTTGACCAGATAAGAGAATACATAGATATAATCACATTTTTAAAAGTGTATTCAAAGTAGAACAGCAACTTACAGAATTGTTTGAAACATACATGGTGAGTGAAAAAGTTCAGATGCCTAAAAAGGAAGAAAGAGTGGTGGTTTTCCATTTTGCGTGTAGAAGACTGTGTTTTATCTTTAATACCTTATGGTTTATATTTAACACAATTACATTACTGGAGGGAGGAATTTGGTTATTTTTAAAATTTATAAATGTCATTAGCTTCGTTCCAAGCCGGAGTACCTGATTCATATGCAATAGGCATGATTCTGGGAAATTTTAGACTCTTGTGGGAGGAAGAGTGCTGGAGATTGAACTCAGAACCTCACACATGCTAAGTATGTGTGTTGAATTTGCGTAACAGTGAATCAAATATTTAGGTTTCAGAAAACTTAGTTATATGTGTGGTGAAAAGAAGGACTCCAGTTTCTAGAACAAGTAATAAAAATTTTAATTGAAAGGAAAAAATCAAAATGAGTTGTTTTTAATTATGATATATAATTGCTGCGGCAGGCTCTGCTAAAGATCGACTGTCAAGGGTTGGTAGTGCATCTTCTCCAAGAAGCTGTTATTCTGACTTCAGCTGTCAAACTTGGAAAATGCTGGAGGGAACTTGCTGAAAAGTTAGTAAGACTCACCAAGCAACAAATGGAGGCATATGAAATTCCTCACCGTGGAAAAACTGGAGATGTTGCTGCCGAGGTGAGATTTTTTTTTTATATGTCTAATTTAATAGTGAAAAGTTGCAGAACATGTAAAGAAAATGCAATCAACACCAGACCACATCCATGGATTAACTGGGTGCAAATATTCCAGTGATGAGCATACATAAAATATTCTATATCTTTCAAATGAGAAGCATTTCAAGATACTGAAGTTTAAGAAAATATTCTGTATTATATTAAATTTGACCTGGTAGAAGCAAAATGTATGTTCTCCACCTCCTTTGGGGGCATAGAGTTCATTATTAAGGTTTTGAGGTAATTTTTTTTTTTTTTCTGTGAAACAACTATTCTAGCTGGGTTATCAGGACAAAGAAACCTTTCCACAAAGAGTAAAAACACAGAACTCCTTATCAGAATCCCAACAGCTGCAGAAAGTGTCAGCAGTCCAGCTTCCAAGTTCCTGGAGCCTGGGTCTCCATCAGGAACTCCAAATCACTTTAGCCAGGAGGAGCTAAGAACTGAGGACTTATTTTTCCCTCGTAAACTACATTTATCTCTGTAAACTGTACAGGTATTTCTGATACTGTAGTATCAAGTGCCTTGCATGAAATGGACATAAGTGTTTAGTAGATGAGACAAAAGACCAAAAGTCATTACAAAGGGGAATAAAACCAATATTATGAGGAATGTGCTCTTTAGATTTGAATATTTCATTTCACTGACTAAAAAGTTGTCTTATTGAAAGCACAACCTTTTTTCCCCTCTTTTTTTCTTAATACTCTATTTTTAAAGAGTTTTCTTGAGAATAATTGGTATTTATTCTATCAGCCTCCTTAAGCATCTGGCTTCTTTCTAATTGTTTATAGTTTGTCTTCCCCCAATCTTGATGGGAACCAACCAACAGCACACTTTTACATTATTTACTTTTGCATAGCCCAAATCATAAATGTCTAAGTCTGTGCCTAGGGCTGATGCATACTCAGAAGCAAAGAGGAAAGCCCCTAGCTGTTCTCCTAGGGGCTATAGTTCAGTTTCTTGTGATTAATACTAACAATCTTCACTCTGAACATGTTATTAAATAGTTAGAAAAATCCATGGTGTATAAACTAAAGCCATTCCAAAAAACCTATAGGGATTTATACCTGTTATGCTAATTTCTTTCCCCCTAACCAAATATAGCTGTAAAAGGTTTTTTTTATTTGGAAGGAGTTGATTCTTAAATATGATCCATTCATAATTCAAGTAGTTGATTTCAGAACACACAGTTATTAGTTCCAAGTAGGGGATGCAGAAGGAAGGAACCAGTATTAGGACTGGGAGGAATCCAGGTTAGTGATTCTGGTGCTACTTCTGTTTCCTTTATTTCACTTCATAGGGGTAGATTCTCCAAAATTGCCCTCCTAGTGTATCAGTGCCCTTACTTGAGATTTTTCACTGATTTTGTCTTCTTTTCAACTTCTCTCTCTTACCTTTGTTCTATCTTTATTGTGTTTAATGGACATATATATACCAGGCAGGGTTTCTGGAAATATTTTGAAAATTAAGTTTTTTTTAATAACAACATAAGCTTTTAGCAATAAGAAGAAAAATCTTGTCTTTGGAGACATATGAGGCTGGCATTTTTAAAATTAAGTATCTCCCAAACTTAAAATTAAGAAATACTACTCAATTTCTTTAATGGCATTATAATTCCTACATAAAAACAAAACTATAAAACTTAGAATCTGATTATAAGCAAAATACGTTTTTCAGAATATTTATTTTGAAAACTGTACAGGTATTTCAGCCTGTTAATACTATAAAAAGATGTAACACTTGCCAAGGTTTTTCTGAAAAAGTTAGGGCAAATTCACTGAAGTTTTTCTGAGGATATTTAGAGATTTAAATATAGAGAAGTAAATAAAGTGTTAGAAAAATAGACTATTTTTTTTTAAGTTGGATTTTACAAGGGAAAGTGGTAGGGATTTGGAGAATTTCTGTGCTAATCTTTTTTTTTTTTTTTTTCTTTTTTGGTACTAGGGATTCAACCCAGAGGGACTTAACCACTGAGCCACATCCCCAGCCCATTTTTAATCTTTTATTTTGAGACAGGGATTTGCTAATTGCTGAGGCTGGCCTCCTCCTACCTTAGGCTCCTGAGCTGCTGGGATCACATGTGTGCACCACCATGCCCAGCTTGTGCTAAAATATTAATAGGCCTGGGGAATGTTATCACATATAGCAATAATTTCTGTATAACACTTTTCCACTGGCTACCTGTTTAGCAATAAAGAAAATGCTCCTTCCATAAGGTTCAGTACAAATTTGAAGTCCCCTTAGCCCACTGAGTGCCACCTCAAGCAAAGGCACCGATATGCCTCTGAAGGATGCTTCATCTGATGTACCACATTAAGCCATCTTTCCTGTGGAAGACCAGGGAACCAATGTTCCTAATCACGATATTTTATCCATCTTAGAAACCACTCAGCACACAAAGGTGTATTTTAATTAGTCAATGCAGGTCTGACTCTCTTTTGTATCATTTAGGAGCATTCTTTATTCCTTTTCATTTTCTGACTGGCAACTGGATTGTTCATGGCACTTTTTTCTAGGTCTACGTTAAAGACTTGAAAGGTGATCTTCAAATAGTTAATTTTATTTATTAAGTGAATGAAAGTTTCTTCATGGAATTCTCCCCACTTGTTTAGCATTGTTCCCTTGTATCTATGCCTTCAGTGTTTTAATCAGTGATACACTTAGCATGTTTTCTGGGTCTCTCAGTTCTCACCATTGGTTTAGGAACTACAGAAATCAACAGAATGAAAAATGAATTTTTTTTTGTATTGAATGCTGAATTGAACATTGGTTTGGGAATTGGAATAAACTGTCAATATTTGAATAACAATTTTTTAAAGAAATATATTAGTAGATGAGAATGATAATAGTTACAACTTATTGACTATTACTGGATGTCTGTTAATCATTATGAGCTTTTTAATTACAATGTCTCATTTCTATCAACAAACTTTGTAAGGAATACATTATTACAATCCCATTTATGCCTATACAAAATAAGTTTGAGCACATTTGTATAATTTTACCCAAAGTTACATGGTTATTAAGTTACATAGATAAAATTCAAATCCACTTTGTCTTATACAAAGTCCTAACTAGCGTGCTAGGTTGGTGATGATAATGATTAATTATTGAATTTAGAAAAGATTAAAGTGGCCAGGAACAATCAGGGGACATGTCCTAGTTCTAAAGGATGAGGAACATTCAAATAATTGGAGAGGATTGGGAATTCAGAATTTCTGGAAACTAGTCAGTTCTAGAGACCAATGAAGAGAAGATGTGAGGGTTCGCCTTAATAATCATTGGGAGATGTGGTTGGCACATATGATGGGGTCAATGCAGGAGAGTATTGAATGACTTCCAAATCATAGAGATTAAGCTTCCTGGCCTGAATTCCCAATTCCCAATCCAAAGTGTTATCCTAGAACATTGAGCAAGTGACTTTTGTAGGATTTTTTTTTTTTTTAGTAAAATGAGGTGGATAATATTATCTTATTTATCAGATGTCAAATTTTTGTTGAGGATCAAATGAGTTAATATATAAAAATATTTGTGACAATCACTTTGCATTGTTGGGGATCGCAAATAAGTCAAGATGGCGCCTGGCAGTTTGCCAGGAGGAGTGGTTTGTGAGGCAACACCACTGAGCCATTAAGATGGTAGAGATTCCTTATCGGCTGATTGCTATATCTGGATGATGCTAATTGAGTCAAGCTGTGTGTAATCAGTTAGGTATATATACCTCTGCTGCTCTGCAATAAAGCGGCTCCTGCTACCTAGGGTGCTTGCTACCTTGAGTTCGCGCTCAGTTCCCACTGAGTTTCCCCGAAATAAAGCAGATCAATAAAGGTTGAACTTCAACCTTCAAGTTGCTTGTCACCTCCCAGTTATTTGCCCAGCAGGACTGTGGCATTGCATATTGTAATCACTAAATATGTAGTACCTGCTATTTTGACGAAGAGGAAGAGGTGAATTTGACCACTTTATGATAGTGAGTGATTTTGGAAAAGAGAATAAAATATAGTAATTTTTTAGTGATATGATTGAGAAAGAATGCAGGTGAGGAAAAAGTCAGCAATAATTTCAAGCAGTCTGAGAAACTGGCAGAACGTTAATGCATGGAAAAAAATGAGAAAATGTTTTGGCTGATTAGCTTTTTCTTATGGGCTGAACATTTAATTTTCCTTGGAAAATCTCTGTTGCAAAAGGTAATAAGAATGTCCTTAGAATAATATGTTTTTCTGGCTTATGTGTAATTCCTGAGTCTGCTTACAGGGATATTGAATTGTCTGGTTCTGTATCTGGACCTGGCTTAGTTCTAGCCTTGGTATTTATATCCCTTTTTTACTGCTTTTTTTTTTTTTTGCAATGAAACACATAGTTTCATTTTCTTAAAGAAGAGAAAAGTCTTATATGGAAATTCACCTAACCGTGGTAAAATGTATAGAATAATCTCTCAAATCTTCATTGTTCAAGCTGGAAATTAGACACAATGATATTAGATAACTGTCATCTACTTTGTACAATTCTTTACTTGTTGCTGCTATCTTCAGTTTCAAAATTATACTTGGCTTTTTGGAATGATTGAAGAAAGAAAAAAGGAATGAAATTCTTTGTTAATACATATTATTCCAGTGGCCTTTTATTTAATTCTATATCATATGTCATTACCACACTGAAAAATGAATAGAAATAATAACCATAGTAGGGTCAATATTTTAAGGATATTTTTAAATGGACTTAGATGTAATAATGTTTGATTTTGATTTTAGGTTTTCTTTATCAAGGTCTGTTACTAGAGAATTTAAATACAAGGAATTCCAACATCTAGCTAAGCATCAGACCAATATTTCAGCTTCTTCTCTCTTTTGAAAACGACAGCAACCTTATCTTCAATAACATTTATATAATTACTAATTGAGGTGATATAAAGCCTACGTGGATACTGTAAATGATGTCTTTAAGACAGAACTCATGTAATAA